AATTGAATAAAAAATGAAACTTTTAATAAAATTACAAAAATGCATAAAAACATTTAACAAAGTCCAAACAAAAAATACTTTTTAATGAACCGTACTAGTAGCTTCTGCACGAAAGTTGTGTTACTTTCAAAAGTTGTTTCATGCTGTCAGGTAATCAATTTGCAAAAATGTCAGCAGCAAACGTGAAACAAGAAGGTAATGGCAGCTGATTAGATAGCATCAGCAATAAGCACAATCATTTGATTCTTGAGCGCTGAGTTGATCACAATAGTACCACGACTCAAAACGCCAAAAAAATAATGCTACTCTTCAGATGTCTCCTCGTTTTCGCCCTCTTTTGTCCGCTAATCATCTCAGCCTTTTCTGATGATACCAGTTCCAATGAAGTAGAATCTGTTGAAAATGGGTTTGAAGATGGCTCCGAAGAGGAGCCACTGCCTTCCGCCTCTTACTCCTCAAGAGGTGTTCCCAAACGTCGCAAGAAGGCAAAAAGCAAAAGCATGGCTTCAAAAAGCTCTCCATTGAAGTCAAAGTCAAAGAGCAGCAGCAGCAGCAACGCTAACACCAACACAAATCTTTTTAACAGTAAAGCCACTTTCTCTGAAACTTCTAAAAGCGCTCAAAGCATAGTCGAATCGGCAGTGAACAACAAGGGCAAACAGACGCAGCAGCAGGAAAAGCTCTCTGCTGAGAAANAACTTCTAAAAGCGCTCAAAGCATAGTCGAATCGGCAGTGAACAACAAGGGCAAACAGACGCAGCAGCAGGAAAAGCTCTCTGCTGAGAAAGACAGCAAAAATTACTATCCCCAAAACAACATCATCAACATCAACAACGACTACCAGCCGTACATTGAGGAGGAGAGTATTCCCGAGTTGCCATCGTACAATGATAATAACAATTACCAGCATCAACAAGAAGAAAGTCCACCACCCTCCATCTTTGAAAGTTCACCCTACCCTGACCATGAAAACGGCGGAAAACTGCTTCAACTGCAGATCATCACTCGCCGAGGCGACCGGACGCCCTTTTGGCTCACCAAGAATGACCACTACAAAGAGACGGACTTTGTGGAGGGCATCAACCAACAATACGGCACTGGAAAGCGGCGCATCGTCGAGCTAGGGCGGCTGCTGCGAAAGCGATACGCTGATTTTTTTGGTAAGGAAATAGTTTATCACAAATTCTGAAGTATCTTATCAATCCCTTTTACCCCTTTTTAGACGACCTCAAACCACAGGAGATCGTCGCCGAGGCGTTGCAAGACCTGCCCGGCAATCCGCACATTGAGTCAACCTTGGCACTTCTTGCCGGTCTCGCCCCGCCCATTCCCGAAGTGGAACCTCCCCAAATCTGGTCCCACTACGACCCCTTGGCCCGCCTATGGCAGCCCATTGCTGTGGGCACCATCGAGAAGGCCCGTGCCTGGAAGCTCGACCCCGAAGTGCCCTGCAAATCGGCGGAAATTGTCGAGAAGGTGAACATTACTCGGGTTCCTGCGCTTCGGAAACTTCTAGAGGAGAACCGCCCCTTTATCAAGCACCTGCAACGAGTCACCGGCGAGGACTTTAGCCCCAAGGGGCGGGGCTGGATGTACATTGGCTACGTCCTCGATACTATCATCAGCGAGGCGGCCTACTTCCGAGAAGCTTTCAGAGCGCCGAACTGGCTCGACCGGCCAGCGCTAGTAGTTTTAGAGCAAATTTACGATCAGGTGTACCGCGTTTTCGGGAACGCCCCTCGGTACCTGAAGACCCGAGGTGGGCTCCTGCTGCGCGGCCTTCTCGATAACATGATCAACACGGTGGCCGCAGGTGGAACTGGAAAGCCCAAGGTCTACATCGCCACCACCACCGACAATATGATTGCCATTCTGGAGCACGCGATTGGCCTCTTTCTGGGTCGACCTGACTTTGGGGCCACCCTCCTGCTGGAACTTCGTCAGCCGAGACGATACTTGGAGGCTAGTTCCGCTCTGGGCTATGGACCGGCCCAGAGCCTTGAAGAGCCCACCGTCCATCTTTTCTACGTCAATGCCACCAACAACTTCGAGGTGTACCCGGTGCCGTTGCGACTGTCGCCTCGGTTTTACCGACTCTGCCCGCACTATCTCCACTGTACGCTGACCAACTTTGCTGTGGGGTTGAAGGACTTTGTCATCAACGGCGGTCAGGAGGAGGCCGCCAGGCTGTGTAATCAGGTCTAAGGAGTTGTTGAAGGAGTTGTTGGAAGTTTTTTATAGAAACTTTAAATTTTTTTTGTTTAGAAGTTTTAAGTTAAAGGAAAGATCAAGTTTACATTTACATTTGTTAAAGAGTTTAACAGGGAATTTACAATCTTTTTTACGCCACATTTCGGTACTTTCGCTTCAGCCCAAAGGTCTTGAAGTACTTGTCGACGAACTGCTCACTGAGATTGAGCGGTCCCATCAGCTTCTCCATCGTCACTAGCTCCTCACTGCAGACCCACTTCTCCCGCAGGCCGCCCAGCCGCGTGGGAATGTACTGCGGGTCAATCATCGCCGGAAGGTCACTCGCCTTCTTGAAGACGACCAGCTCCGCCAGCCACTTGGGCATCATGCCGACGATCATCTTCATGAGGGCGTTCAGCAGCCAGGGCAGCTCGACGATGACGTGCTGGCGAATGCCGCCCGGGTAGTATCCCAGAACCTCGATCTTGAACTTCGTCACCTCCAGGTCGACGCTGTTCAGGGCGCCGCCGGTGGCGTCGGTGACGGCGATGAACCCGCTTTCACCTGCCTCCCGGTCGATCTTCTCAAAACAATGGGCCACAAACTGCTTCGTCATCCAGCGAACCTCCTTGAAGATGACCTGATTCCGCGTGGCTTCCCACTGAATCGGCCGCCCCTCCCGGTCTCGGCCGACCATCTCCACGCAGTTCAGCTCCCAGATCTCCCGCGGAAAGGTGGCGTCGGTTCGCTCGTGAACTCCGTAGCTTTGCTTCCAGGCTAGGGCCCGGCAGAGGGCGCTGAAGGCGGCGTCCTCATTTTGGTTGGGTTGGTCCAGGAGGTAGCGTCGAACTTGCCACTCCTCAGTTCGAACGCGTTCAATGTCGATGGGATGGTAAGTGGTGGGGTGATGGAGGACTTCCGCGGCGAAGCGGTCTCGAAGACGGGCGACGGCTTCGGAGGACATTTTTGGTGGTGATAGTGAATATTTGATTATTGGGATGTTTTCTGGGCAGGTAATCAAAAATCACAAAAGTTTTAAAGCTGTGAGAAGTGGATGTAATAAAACGGTTGATGTTTCGGCGGTTTTATGTGTGTTATACAACACTGGTTCTGATGTTGGAGAAAAGCACCTTGAAAGAAAAGTGTTGTGATGGCAAAAAAGAGGTAATTATAGATTTTTGCAGAAAATTATGTTAGCAAAAAACTAAAAAATTTTATAAAAATTAAAACAAAATTATAAAGAAATTTCACCTTTTTGCAAGTATCTTTTCTTACCATTGCAGCTTTTGAATACATAGAAGAAAGAAGCTAACCACAACACAGCTGATGAAGATGACGAAGCATTTTTTGTTGTTGTTGCTTCTGCAGCTGCCTCTTTTGTCTGATGATGATGGCCACCACTGTTCCTGTCACAGGTTTCTTTCTCCAATCAGATCGATAAACTTTATCCTCAAAAAGAGTCACTGAGAGAGAAAAAATGTATGTTTAGTTTCTATTTACAGCAGCTAACCTCTCTCCTTTTTTCTCACTTTGCAGAACATTTCAATTGACGTCAGGCGCTGCTGATAACATCGTACAGCAGCAGCAGCAGCTTTTGCTCACCTTTTTCTGTTGAAAGGGAATGCTCTTCTGTTGAATAACATATAACCAGGCAAACAGCAACCAGCCAACAAAGCAGCACTAAAATACAGCAGAACACAGTGAGCTAATATTTGCGTTTTAGTTTGTGTGAGAGGAGCTAACAAACAAACAACGAAAAAGTGCTAAGTGTTTGATACACAACACAGTGAACATTAGAGACATTTTCTAGCTAAAAAATGTACAGAAAAAGACATCAGTGTTGTTTTTCAAAATCAAGGACCACCTCGCTGAAGCTGACCGTCTCGCATTGTCCTCAAGTCTTTCATGAAGAGGTAGGCCACTACGGCGATGAAAATGGTAAGAATGGCGCTCAAAAAGCTACCGTTTCCGGTCAGCAGCTTGGCTACATCAATAAATGAGCCCAGGCAAGCAAGCACTACAAAAACGGTGACCA